CTATGTAGCCCGGGTCAATTAGGGAAGGTGTTGGGTCCCATGGAAGAGGGACTGGGCTGGGCTAAGGATAGACTGGGGGGGCCTGTGGTGGCACTTGCTGATATAATGGGGGCACTGGATTCTACTGTGGCAGTACCGGGCAGTACTGTGGCTAGGCCACCGGATTATACTGCGATGGTGGTGTCGGGGGGTACTGTGGAGGAGCAAGCTCGTGCCGAGGTGGCTCGGGATCCGCTCGCTGTAGCAGTGACTCAACCTGTGGTAGTGGGGGGGGGGGGTCGGGTAACTCCCTTCTCTCCTCTCAGCCTTACTGGGCAGCAATGATCCTTTCTAGCATCTCAAATATTCTGTCTACATCTTTCCGAAGCGAATCATCCCGGGCTGCTCGATTTAGTGGGGGTCTTTCTCTCATCATCTCTCTGCACCTATCTTTCACAAGGAAGTGTTGAGTAACGATTAATCGGAGTCCGAGGAACGCGGCTCTGATACCAACTGTAACGGCCCCGAAAATTAAAAGGATCGTATATATAAGAATTCTAAGTGCGGAGGCGAAATAAAATATTATGTTTAACATCCCTTACACAATAAGCAAAACGTATTAAACGTATGAAAGAATAAGCTAACTAAAGTAAATACTAGAAATGAATACTATAAGAAAAGCTATAAAATCTTTTAGGCATCTACTCGCCGTCTTCCTGACCAACAGGCTCGGAGCACCAAAATATTTAAAGTCTCCATACCCCGTCCGGTATGAGAGACAACATTCCCGGTAGGGTCCCTTATGGACCCGGTCTGTCCACCATCTCCCAATATGTCTAGTGAGGTTGTTAACCTATCCATTTATCAACTTAATCCCATTCCTATTTGTTCTTAGTCTCAATTACCCAATTAAACATGAATACATAAATCAGTAACGAATACCAAATAAGGCAAACATAACATCGGGTTCACAATAATCAAACCATAATAAATTAAACAGTGAAACATGCATACAAAGCTACAGACTAAATAAATCAGATACTACACTGTATTTAGATTGTAAAATAAATCAAACAGGAACTGACCGAAAAATATATTAGATTCGGGCTCCATTAGCAACCTTAATTAATTATACATATCCATGAATTCACAAAATACCGTTTTATCATTTATTAGACTTTAATACCATGATAGGATATAGGGTGGGTGAGAGATCCTTACTTGATTCGAAGTCTAAAATCAGTTTTTCACTGTACCTACGGGCAGTCCCTAGATTCTCTAAATTTTTCTCCGGGAACTGAAACACATTTTCGGTACCTACACATGTCCCCAAAAAACTCCAAACCAGACCTAGGATGTAACGGCCCCGGAAATTTAAAATGAAATACGTGTATTAAAAAGGTCAAATGCGGAAGCGAAATAAAAATTTCGATTAACATCCCTCACACTAAAACAAAAAACGTGCTCAAAGTATAAAAGAACAAACTAACTAAAAGAGAAACTCGAAAGTAAAAGCTATAAATATAGCTACGGAGTCTTTAGGCGTCCCCTTCGCCGTCTTCCTGCGGAACGGGCTCGGGAACAATGTCTTCCTGATCTGAAATGATTAAATAAGGAATGAGCTACACCAGCTCAGTAAAGAGTACGCACTATCTCACAGTCACGGAGGTAAAGGTGGGTAGAAAATACAAAAAGACCAATGGAGCATAATTTACAACAAATTCTTTTATCAATAATAAAATCATTTACTATCCACTTACCTCGGTGAAATTCATAAAACAATATACGAAAGCAATAACATTATCATCATCATGAAATCATATGAGCTGTATAACATAATACTTATCACGCCTTTTGCAATTCAATCATTTTACAACATATTTTTCTTCATTTACCAGCCTACTAGTATCCATGGGGATCCATAGGGGTCCCGCTACTCGTGAACCCTTAACACTTGTAATCAGATTCCAGGGCCGTCCCCATACCCCGTCCGGTATGGGCGCCAAAATTATAAACCTCAATACCTCGTCCGGTATGAGGGTGAAACGGGTCGTCCCCATACCCCGTCCGGTATGGGCGCCAAAAGACATAAGGTCTCCATATCCCGTCCGGTATGACAAACCACAGTCCCGGTAGGGTTCCCTACGGACCCGGTCCGTCCACCATCTCCCAGAATATCTAGTCAGGCTGACCACATTATACAATTATCAATTTACATAACCTTTCATCCCCCTTTTTCCTCAGTCAGCATCATCAAATCACACACAAATATGCAAACCGGTAGTTCACGCCAACAAGACAACACACAACATCGGGTTCTCAGTCATTCAGTCTATAATCAATGAAACAGTGATACATGCACACGAAACTATGAAATAAAAACATCAGACATCATACTGTATTTAAAACTGTAAAATAGAACAAACAACAACTGACCGACAAATACACCAGACTCGGGCTCCATTAGCAACCTCAAACAATTTCACACAGCTATTGATTCATGAAATACCATTTTATCATTTATTGCACTTTAATACCGTGATAGGAAATAGGGTGAGGAATCCTTACTTGTTTCGGGGTCCGAATACGGCTCTAAAGTGCGCCTACAGGCTGTCCCTAATTTTTTCTGAATTTTTTTCGGGGAACTGAAACGCACTACTGGTACCTGCACGTGTCCCAAAAATTCCAAATTAGACCCAGGGCCCCTTTCGGCCAATATCGCAATTCCGGCACGGCGGCTCCGCCGTGCTCCAGCGACGGCGCCGCCGCAAGCGGTGGCGATTCGCCTCGAGTTGGCCGTTTTCGGCCATTTCCGGCTGAATTCGGCCACACTTGCATCGGTCTCTGCGATAAAACGACCCTAGGGCCCTCGGGGGGCAAAAAAATTACGAAAAACCGAAGCTTACCGACGGCGGTGCTCTCGGGTGCGGCGGCTCTCCGGCGAGGTTCGTGTTTTGGTGATTTGGCTCCAATCAACCTGTAGAAAAAAGAATGGTGATCACGGTGATATAAAAATTGTATCAAACGGAGGTCGGGAAGGGCCTCATCGGAGGCAAAAACCGAGGAGGGACGCGACGACGCTGCTGGGTTTCGGCCGTGTTTTTCGGCCGTTTGGCCGGGATTTTGGCTCTGATTTGGCCACAGAGGAAATCAGCGTGGAAAAACGAGTCGGGGGTATGAAATTTACCTCGATCAGCGGTCGGAAATCTCCCCGGTGCAGCGGCGGGTGGCGGCGGCCGGCTCCTTCGGCGTCTGGTTCGTCTTCTCCGGCGAGGGCAGGTGGCTAGGGTTTTTGTGGTCAGGTGTGGGGGTTTTATTTATACCCTTTTGCCTTTTGATCACAGCCGTCCATTTTGATTAAATCTGGGCTGTCCGTGCGCACGCTTGATCTGGGCAGTCCGTGCGCGCGGGGACGCATCTGAGTCGTCCGATCGCACGCACGCGGATCGCCCACGTGGCTCGTTCCTGGGGTCGACGTGGTCTTGCCACGTGGCAGGTCCCTGGTTGGCCAGGGCTGCTGACTAGGCTGCTGACGTGGCTACTGATGTGGCGTAATTTTTCTAAATTGCGTTTTGACCTCTGGTTTCCGATTTTCTTTTCAAAAATACCCCCAAAATCCTAATTTTCACCCTTTTTTCCCAAAATCAATTTCAATTAAATCCAAATAATATCTTTACCCAATGTTACAATTATTGTTGTTTTTATTTTTATTAACTTAAATTAAAATAAACTAAATAAATAAAATAAAATATAAAAAATAAAATTAATAATAATAACAATAAAATTCTAAAATTGTTGGGCGTTACATAGGACCTCCTCGGCTCTCCGGCGACGGCGCCACCACCCACGGCGGCGATCCGCCTCGGGTTGGCTGTTTTCAGCCGTTTCTGGCCAAATTCAGCCAAACTAGCACCAGTTCCTGCGAGGAAACACATGTAGGGCCCTCGGTGGGCCAAAAAAATACAGAAAACTGAGACTTATCGGCGGCAGAGCTCTCGGGTGCGGCGGCTCCTCCGGCGCGAGTTGTGATTTGGTGTTTTGCTCCAATCAACCTGTAGAAGAAAGGACAGTGGTCACAGTAGTGTAAAAATTACATCGAACGAGAATCGAGAATCGGGAAGGGCCTTATCGGAGGCAAAAATTGAAAAAACTCGCGACGGCGCCGCTGGGCTTCGACGGCATTTTCTAGCCAATTGGCCGGTGGTTTGGCTCCGATTTGGCCATATGGGGGTTTAGTATCAAAATTCGAGCCAAGAGGAGAAATTTTACCTCATTTGGCGGCCAAAAAGTGCTCCGGTACGGCGGCATGTGGCGGTGGTCGGTTCCTCCGGTGGCTGGGCTGTCTTCTCCGGCGAGGGCTCTGGCGGCTAGGGTTTAGGATTGGGTGTGGATGAGATTATTTATAACCTTCTCCTTTTAATATGAGCCGTCTATTACGATTTAATCTATACTGTCCGATCGTGATTAAATTGGAAATGAATCTGGGTCGTCCATCGCAATGCAATTTGTGTCGTCCGTGCGTGATTCAATCTGGGTCGTTCGCACACGTGCAATCTTGGCCGTCCGCGCGCGCGTTTGATCTGGGCCGTCCGTGCGCATGGGAACGGATCTCAGCCGTCCGATCACGCGCACACGGATCGCCCACGGGGCCCATTCCGCATGGCCTTCCTGCGTCAGCATCTCTGCCACGTGACGTGTCCTGGTTGGCCGGAGTAGCTGACCGGGCTGCTGACGTGGTGCAATTTTTTTAAATTGTGTTTTGATCCCCTGGTTTCTGATTTTTTTTCAAAAACATTCCCAGAATCTGAATTTTCACCCATTTTTCCCAAAATTATTTTCAATTAAATCCCAAAAATAATTTTACCCATTTTTATCATTATTATTATTTTTATTTCCATTAAATTAAATTAAACTAAATTAAAACAATTATATTATTACTTAAATAAATCAATTTAAAAAAATTGAAATAAAATAAAATTATAATAATTCCAATAATAATAATAATAATAAAATTAGGGTGTTACACATATAGTTTCATTTCATAATTTAATTCACTTTATATAGTGACAAATGGAAACACAAATAGCAGTAATTGCAAGTGAAAGTGATAATACAGGAATAATGAAGGTTGTATTTTTATGATGAGCAAAATCCTTAGTGTTATTATTCCCATCATCATTTTCTTTAGGCATTATCACATAAAGAAACCCATTAAAGAACTCAGCTTCAATCTCATCTTCTTTGCACTTGCTTGGGATTTTAATCTCTTTGCTAAACCTCCTCATTGTTGTATCATCCATTTTTCTTTCTCCTTTGATTTTTAATTTCTTAGAATTCAATAACCAAACCTTTATATCATCCTTTTCATACCCTACAAAAGTCATACATAAGATGCATATTTATATATGTATATATGTATGTACATACATACACAAATGAAAAAAAAAAAAAACTTAAGCTATTAACAAACTTTTTTGAAAATACATTAATTATAAGAACTTATAGACTACTTATTAGATTTTTTATTAACAAATGAAGTTAACGTGCGTAACAGACTATCAGTTTATTGGATATATTTAAAAATTATCAATTACAGTTAAACGATTATAAGTGTTAATGCATCAGGTTTAAGTATGAATTTATAATTTTTATATATACTATATTTATAATTTTTCATTTTATGAAGAACAAAATAAAAAATGACAAAAGTCGACAATATAAAAACCGGTTATGATCTCTAAATCATACGTGCGTTTTGCTTATTTCTTGTTATCCTGTCAGTAATAAAAATTAATTTTTACAGCCATGTGTTGATTTAAAAAATTTATTGCATGATACAAAATTCTCTTTCGTTTACACTTCCGTGTTCGTTCTCTTTAATTTAGTATGAGTTTACTTATTATTTTCAGATCTGGTTTGATTTGATTTCTATCATTACTAACTTACAAATTCTTTGGTAATAACAAATTTGAAATTTTAGTAGAGACCAATTAGATATTAAATAATATGTTTGGAATAATTACAATATTTATTTGAAGTTTAACCTTTAAATGGAGAAAAAAATTTATTAAAAAATGGCTCAAAATTTTGAGTTGGTAAAAAAAAAAAATACTTAACCAGAAAAATTTATTTGCAACATGAATAAGCTAGAAAACAAATTAATAGAAATAATACAAAAGTAAAAATTTAATGAGAAAAATATATCATGTATATAATTATGTAAACTTATATGTGCATGGACATGTATACATACATATTTAATGAAAAGATTAGAAAGGTGGGTTGAATAATTACCATGGAGGCAGACTTCAAGAACATCACGGTCGTGTTCTTCTTTCCATTTGCAGTAAGGTTCAACATCATCGTATCGGGTGGCTTCTTTAGTTGTCATTTCTCTGTAATGAGAAAAGCTGTATTAAATTAATTTGAGTCTGCAAGTCCATCTATATATATGTATATTTGTATATATATATATATATATATATATATATATATACTTCTTTCCTTGAAAATGTGGTAAAAGAATTTTGCAGTTGGGTTTTCCCTGGAAAGAAAATTATATTCCTCTTTGATCGACATGGGTGGACGTTTAAGTTGCTTAAACCTCTAGGTATTCTTTTCCTATAGGTATATTACTTCAAAATTTTAATGAACTTCCAGCTGAAAAAATAAAAAAAATATTATATATATATATATATATATATATATTTGGACTCTGAAGTTTGTCTTGTAATATTTCTTAATTTATTATTAACTAACCCATAATCTTGGTAGCTGTAGCACCCGGAAAGGAG